TTCAACTTGGTTACTTACAAAGAAAGAAAATAATTGTTTAATCAATTCTTAATCAGACAGATTAAATGGTTTTTGATTATTAAGATTCATATACGATTCAGTGCCTCAGAAATATTTTTCTATTATTTAAAAATCTTATAGCTATAGTTTGATGTCTGTGACGAAATATTGTATATCTTTCAATTATTGCCTTACACATCAAATCACAATTTCGCATTTTCATATATGTTTGGCCACAAAAATAATTGTTGAATAAAACATCGAAAGTGATTTCTTTAAGCTTATGCAATTATTGTGGACAAATCCTCATGTCCGACCTCATTTCAAATCATGAAATTGAAACTTAAAACACCTATTCCATTGCCCTCAACGCTGATGTATATATTTCTGTTTGGCGGCATGTCGACGTTCCTATTTCACATGCTATTTTTGTATATTCAATTATGTATGCCATTTCAATTTTACTAACTAGCTTATCAATCAACTTATAGCATTTCATCTGTTTAACTGATGATTTATGTATCTTTAATGCATACGTATTCTATACCATACGTAAAAATGACAATAAAATATAAAAAAAGATTTTTAAAAATTATTCAAGCTATTGTATAGGTGTGACATTTTGTATTATTATTAATTCTAACATGTGACACCGAATATGTATGAATTGCTGGACTTCAGTATCTTTATAGATAGAAAAACGTCTGTCCTTTTATATCTATTACACTTTATTTGTCATTTTCATCAGTTTTAATAAATGTATTAAGCGAAATGTAGATATCTAAGTGTTATTAGGAGTAACAGTATAAGAGCCGCGTCATGACAAAACCAACATAATGGGTTTGCGACCAACATGGATCCAGACCAGCCTGCGCATCCGATCAGTCTGATCAGGATCCATGCTGTTCGCTATCAGTTTCTCTACTTGTTATAGGGTTTGTAAGCGAACATCATGTATCCTGATCAGACTGCGTGGATGCGCAGGCTGGTCTTGATCCATGCTGATCGCAAACCCATTATGTTGGTTTTGTCGTGACGCGGCTCATTTATATATTTACATGTAAAGTTTGTTGAATAAATTTAAAAAAAACACATAATTTATACATACTCGTAAATTTACATGTTTATTTGCACGCTAACATATGTTTGTATCTGTTTTTCTTAGCAAACAAATAATGAAACCTAATAAATAAAGTCATGTACATTGATTTACAATTACATGTAAGTTATAACTGTATCTGTAGATAGTGTTTGAATTAATTCATTCGTTCAAACTTGTTTTGTATAATATGATATTATTGTTATAATTGCGAGATGGAAAGTTTATATGGTTACATCCCATGAGTTTATATGATATATTTTAAACAATATTAAAGGCCCATAATGCATCAGAAATGCTTTTATTTTTATTTTTCAAATGCCTTTTATTTCTGGTGTACTTTTTAAGTTTCCAAAAAGTTACTGATTGGTCATCTGCATCATCTGTTGTCCTTTGGCAAATAGTAAAGTTGTAGCGATTTTGATATTTTGTATGGAAGTCAAAATACTACTTTGTTTACATTTTGCTAGATTTATGACAAATTATTTCACATTAATTGTAACTTCTTCAGTTTACAAGCATCTAACATGCTCTAAAACAGTTATTTAAATGTTATTAGATTCATGTTTGCCCTTTCTAAAGAAGTAAAGATTTATTCATTATTGGGGGATATTGTGCCTTTAATCAATGGAACTTAATGTAAACACTACATACTACTCTTATAAAATCCTGTATTCATATGTGATTAATATTGAGACATTCTATTATATAATTCTTATGGATTATGAAACAACATTCTTTTACCGTTTATAAATTTTGTCAAAAGTATTTAATTAGACATAACTTTATACACTTTACAGTTTGAAAGACAATGAAATAGTCCAAAATAGGGAGAGGCGGAATCCTTAAGGACGTTTTAGCAAGATGTTACTTTACACTCATAATGATTACTAAAAAAGGAATGTGCTTTTTAATTTAATTTATAAAAAATTAACAAATTTTATGCGACGGCGCACAATATAGTATGCGGCTCACTTTCGGGTGCATCGTTCATTCATGACTATATTCGTAACGTACCATCTTAATCATTTCTAAACATTCCCTTAAATTGATCATCAATTACATTATCCCATTGAATATGCTGAATTAAGAATTTAAATAACTATTGCCTACTTCAAACATCTTAACGACTCTTAACCATTTTAAATAGCGGACTTTTGTCAACTTATCATTCATAACAGCTCGTTGATTTCAATAATTCGTCTTTCAAGTTCACACAAGGGTGAATGAAATGTGTTTGCTTAGTATAAAAATATAAAAGAAGAATTTAAGGAATAGAATACACTTAATACAACCAGGACAGAGGTCCGTCTAAGCAAATAATTGGACGGCGCCTGGTATAGTGGGGCCATTTTAAAGCGTAAAATGCGATTATAATTGATATTTCCTCAAATTGTCAGATTTCCAAAGTACTCTCTGAGGTCATTAATTTAATTCATGAATGGTTTTATTTAAGGTTTATTTAAGGAGTTGAATAAATTTTACTACCATTGTTTGTAAATTTGCGGGTGTTCCAGCCACCACGGTAGTAACATCGAGACTGGATTGCATGAACAGAATTAAACACATAATTAACAATAATTCCCTTCTGTTTGAAAAGACCGTTAGCATGGCAAGTTAGCATTTAAATCTAAATTGGAATTAGTATATGTATTATTTTTGGAAATGGTGTATTTTCTTTCGTTTATGTGTCAGATCACATACAAAGGGTGTCTATCAAATGCCTAATTCACACAGAAACTAGACACGTAAGGGAACATGTTTTTTTACAAAAAGGAAACATGCTTGTCCTTCGGGATCATTGATTCTAGCACTTTTATGTGTTGGAAATTAAGTAAAGCTCTTCCGGCACTTTCAAGCGTTGAAAAATTAGTATATCGCAAGCCGGTGCTAGGGATCCTTATCCCTCGTGTACAGACTCAATCAAACCGAGTCTGCAATTTTCAAGTAATTTTGATGTGATTAATGCTTCCGAGGGATCATCTTTTCCAGATTTTTACATGACATATATACCCAGTCTGCTGATATATTTAAAAAAATGCAGTTGTCACTCATTCTGTGTTTTAAATCATTAACATTTTGCCATAAATGCAAAATTCATGTCTGACATATCTGTCACAAAAGCTGACTGGGTGTTTTTTTGTTGAATAGTAAAACACAACAATACCTTCTCAATCCCAAAAATGCCAACAATTAAATTAACAAAGTCTGAATGCGACCGATCAAAGCAAAGGTTGATGAACTAAACGTCCTGTTGTAAAGATAACTTGATTTTTTGTAAAGATATGCTTCCGTGTAACAATGCAATTTCAGTCATATCTTGCCTTACATTAATTACATAAAAAGTGATTGGCAAGGAGCATTATAGGCAATTAGATATGAACGACTTCTTTATAATGATTTAATTGTTTTATTCAGCGATTTTGTGACATTTTGGGTTCATTTGAAAGAGCAGACGCTGTAGTAAAGTTGATACAATTAAAGCGCTCGTGGGAATCATTACATGACGGTATAACTGTATGACATCTGATGGTGATTCTTTTGTCGTGATAATCTTTGCATGAAGAAAGTTGATATTGAAGCGTTTATTGTTTAATATATCATTCTATACGAGCACTAATTTGTTACATGCCATATAATGTCAGTCAAAATACATATCATCTATTATTATATAACATTGATAATACATATCATACCGATCATATATCACCGATAATACATATCATAACGATCGTATACCACCGATAATGCATATTTTTAATCTTTTTATGACAATAACTTTGAGGGTGGTAATATTGTATTAGATAAAAACTGCTACAGGTGTTCTTTTTAGTTTTGATAACAAATTAATTAATAAATGCAAATGATTTTTCATACTTATTATTGAAATTCTATGACCATTTTCAAAATCAAAACATGATAGAGATAAATATGATAATTAACAAAATTTAAACATTTCTTCAGTGGATTGGAATAAGAGGAAATGTCTTTCTTCCTTAAACTTCTGAACTCTTAAATGATTGTTTTTCTATGTTTTGCATGACTTTCATGGCACTTTCATACAATTATGCAGTTACCCGACGATTTTTCAATGAACAACAACGTTTTTTTTTATCATTATTTCAAGCTTGTACATTTTGCATCGCCTAGCAATCATTTCATTATGTGTCTCTAAGTGATTTTTTGTGTTGATATTTGAAAAGTTTATCGCCTGTGACACATCAAGTATCCTATCTAAATTGATTTATTACGAGATACTTTTTATAACGAATGCAAGGTGTTTGATGATAGCTCGCAGGTAATTATCCGTGACTTCATAAATGTTGGCATTTAATGTTTCTTTTACATATTTTGTAGTAGGTTATTCATCCCCCCACCATCACATGATTCGCACTTGACTTTGCTTGTTCATGTACATAGTTACATTTCTTTCATCAATTAATTAAAATACCTCTAATATTAAAGGCACTCATCTCACTTAAGAAATGCATGTACATGTGTAAAATCAAAAATGCACGCATATTATATCATTCTACATTAAATTAGATAGGGATATTTGTGTTTAATATGACAATCATATTACTAGTATAAGCAATTACATTTGTGGTAAATGTGACGTGCCATTATATGGACTTCTACCTTGATCCAAGGACATTCTTACGATCCTTTTTGATGAATATAGTCAAAACAAATCATTTTAAAGACAATGAAAGTTTGGTCAGTGTCTTGAGATTAAAGAATATATATAAAAAACCTTTTCTGTAAGTGTCTTTGAAGTTACGTATTATTACAATGCCATATTGCATCCTCAAAAGTAACAAGTCTGATAAAATGTAAAGTAATACTTCTAGTTATAAGAAAAGCTTGTACGTTACATATATAATTTATTTTTATAATCCAGATTCGACTAATTGGCTGGAATGGTCATCTTGTTCGAAGTCTTGCGGTGGCGGTGACCAGGTTAGAAAACGTAATTGTTCGCTGACCGAGTCCGAGAAGTGTGACACGGCTACAATGGACCGCAGATCGTGTAATAGTTTCCCTTGTGAAGGTAAACTTGACTGGTAAACAATTCTTACATTGATAAATATTTCTCTTCTGCTTTTTGAAAAAATGATATCATATTTGTGTGACATTTATAATCTTATAAAGAATACAAAAAGAAAGAAGTCAGACCGAATCGTTTATAGATGCGTTAAGTCCTTATCGTCACATCATTTCATCATCATCATCATCATCATCATCATCATCATCATCATCATCATCATCATCATCATCATCATCATCGTCATCGTCATCGTCATCACCATCATCATCATCATCATTATTATCATCACCATCATCGTCATCGTCATCATCATCATCATCATCATCGTCGTCGTCATCGTCATCGTCGTCATCATCATCATAATCATAATCATGATCATGATGAACATCCCCCTCCTTCTAATCATCATCATCATCATCATTATGATCGTCATCATAATCATCACCATTATGAACATGATGAAATCATTATCATGATTATCATCACCATCTCTAGAATACATTTTTAATACATTATAATCATAAAATTTATATGTATAAATTGAATTTTAAAACTTACAGTTTTGTTATCATTAACATGTTTTTTTATTTATTTCAGATGCCCATGATTTGTTGTCGTATCTAGGTATTTATAAACTACCTCTTGGAGTTTACCACGTGCAGGATCGACCGGGAGCTTTCAATATAACCAAAAGTGCTAAACTTTACTCACCTCTTACAGAAATTTATCCATACAAACTACCTCAGGAATTCTCAATCATGGTATCTATTAAACTTAAACAATTTGAAGGCTATTTTTTCACTCTCAGTGATTTAGCAGGAAAACAAAGGATCGCCATTAAGTTTGCAATAAAGAACAGTCACGCCGTGATACGGTTTGAGTTTTACGACGATAAAGATTTATCGGGAGAAAACGCTCCGGAATTCCAAATGCAGCTAAAAGAAAACTTCTGGCATCGGTTTGCTTTTGGAGTTTCTGAAGACGCTGTAGAATTATATTTAGACTGTGATAAAGTATTGAAAAAGGAGTTTCCGGTTCCGGTTAAAGACCGGTCCCCGCTCAGCAGCAATCTGATGATGGCGCTAGGACCATATTTTACCGGATATGGTGACAGCTTTGAGGTAACTGAACTTCAAATCCTTAACTTTACTCTAATGTTATTAATAAATTAAATGTAAAACCACTGTTTGCTGATGTAGAATTTTATCGTTCAGAGCTCTTGCTGTTTTAGTTTTATTAATGCGGTGCTAAATTGTCTCTATGATATATACATGTATGCTTTTTTATAAAAAAAGAGCAATTTGTTCAAATTTGAATATGATTATTCATTTAGACTTTGCAATGGAAGAGAAACGTATTCATTTTTAATGAATATAATTTATCTTTATCGAACTCGTTAAGTAATGAAACGTTAATGTCACATCTATTTGTGTTACATTTGAAAAAACAAGTTACAGAATGCGTCAAATGATAATGCGTCTGTTTTGATTATGTTTTTTTTTACATAAGTTATATCTGAAAATAATTTTTACATCATAGTAAGTCTAAAATATTTCTCTTTAGTTGCCTCACGTAAGCAATGGATAATTTAATCCGTCGTTCATCAGAATTATCTGACACAAGCTTAATCTGTTCATCAAAATTATTTGACACAAGTTTAATCTGTACATCAGAATGATCTGGCACAAGTTTAATCTGTACATCAGAATGATCTGGCACAAGTTTAATCTGTACATCAGAATGATCTGACACAAGTTTAATCTGTATATCATAATTATTTGACACAAGTTTTATCTGTACACCAGAGTTATTTGACACAAGTTAAATCTGTACATGATAATTATTGACACAAGTTACATCTGTTCACAAGAATTATCTGACATAAGTCAAATTTGTACATCATAATTATTTGACACAAGTTTCATCTTTATATCAGAATTATCTGACATAACTTTAATCTTTATATCAGAATTATCTGACACAAGTTTAATCTTTATATCAGAATTATATTTATATCGGAATTATCTTTATATCAGAATTATCTGACACAAGTTTAATCTGTACATCTTATATCATGATCATTATGATGACAACAATGATAATTATTATTTTGTCATCATTGATTTATTATTATAATTATTACAACAACTGTATTACTACTATTACAATTGTATTATTATTGTCGCATATATTATTATTATTATTATTATTATTATTATTATTATAACAAATGTATTATTATCATTATTAGGGGGAATTGGAGCAGCTTGTCTTGTGTGATGATTCCCGTGCAGCACGACAACATTGTTCCTCTGTAATAGATCACACGGTAAGTTTGTCATTGTACAACTTCTCTCTACTTAGAAGTATGCTGAGAAAGATAATTCAGAAGCTATCATTGCTTTTGGTGTATTTTAGGCATGACATAGATTTACAAATCTAATGTTACAGCATCTTTGTAAATTATATTAATGTAACAGCGTCTCTACCAGCTTGAAATATTCAGAAACACCTATTATTATCTATATTTTAACTGTAAGATTTGATTTACTAAAAGCCCTTCCTTTTGCTTTCAAATTAACTTAAAGTGAAAGTTAATGAATATATTCATATAAAGATGGAAACTATTTTAGGAACGTGCCATTAAAGATGAGGGTAACAACGAAATAGATGATATAAGCCATGGTGAAGATAATAACACAATATATAAACCACACGGACATACACAACAACCAGAAGGTAGGTTAATATTACCATATAAAAAACACATGGACATACTCAACCACCAGAAGGTAGGTTAATATTACCATATAAAAAACACATGGACATACTCAACCACAGGAAGGTAGGTTAATATCACCATATATAAACCACACGGGCATATTTAACAACCAAAAGGTATGTTAATATTACCATATATAAACCACACGGACTGCTCTGGTAAATTCAATGTGGCCTACTGCCGTGATCCAGAGGGTAAACTACGACCACCAACACCACCATTTCTTCTTTTTTTTCTCAAATAATGGAAATTTACTTCATTATGATTTCTTTATAAGGAGTCATGACAGGTTATATGATCGTATTTTATGCACCCTCCTTGCGGGTCGGGTTATATATACAAACAACCGTTTATACAGTCAAAAAATGATAACTAAAAAACCTGACGGACGTACTCAACAACCAGAAGTTAATAATCTCATATGGGAATCAAATGGACATACTCAACAAGCAGACGACATGTTACTAAGTAAACAAAAAATATAATAAATTTAAAATAAACTTATAAAAAGGATAGGTAAATACAGAAATATACAATGTATATGTTTCACTTCTTCTTTATACATGATGATAACCTGATTTAACAATCATTTGAATCGAAGGCTAATATTTTTGTTTTTGTATTTAAAAAAAAATACAGTTAGAACATGACGCTTACTTACCTTGTTTCCATATTCCTATGATATGACTGGACCGGATTATATACATGTATATTAATGTTTATATTATACATACAGTTACAACATTTGAAACTACGACAGAAGTTGATATACGTGCTGAATGGACCGAGTGGTCGCCGTGTAGCCGGACCTGTGGCCGGGGAGTACAGACTCGAACCCAGTACTGCGGGGATAACGTTATCAGTACTTGTATCCAGGCAGGTCTTGACAGCGAGCAGGCTCGATGGTGTTATCAACAGTCTTGTGAAGGTAAAGGAACAGAAAACACGTTCTTATTCTAATGATCATTGTGATTAAAGGGAGGAAACTATTTTGACGTGTTATACATGATAACATGGATAATGTCCCGTGGATTGTGCAAGAATGGTTGTTCATTTATTAATTATTAAGATTAGTATTCAAATATTGAGTCGGGATATGATTCTTCGTATGAATTAATGGCAATTTTTACTGATTGTTCAATTGGATTTCAAATAGCTTATCAATTGGTTATTGGAATTTATACAAATGAGAAGTCCACATATTTTCACCTGCTATTAAGTGATTAAATACAATCTATTAGAACTACACTTAACAAATCTTATAACTGTGCACGTATAAAAATCAAATTTTCTCAGATACAAAGAAATATAGGTCTCTGAAATTTTTACCAAGTATAGTACAGATATGTGCAATGATGGGTATCGATTTTAATGTCAGGGCGATTCGTATTTACTGAGAAATAGCGATGTGTGCAAGATTGTGCAAAAACCGAATTTCACATTTCTGTAAAATGCGTGTTTATAATTGGTGTAAAAAGGTCTAAATCTCTTGATTTCACTAAAATACAAACATAAAACATAGGATCACCTATAGGATATAATACTACAATGAAGTCCAGGGCATTATGTCACTGTCATTTTAATATTTGCTTTATTGAATTTCAGTAAAGACTGGTTTATGTCGATCTCCGTAACGCGTTGTACCCAGTTACTAAAAGCAATGCAAACACGGTATTTTCATTAATATGAAAGTACCGAGAAAGTTTTTTTTTAGTTTTAAAGTAAAATCTTAGTCATGATGTTTATTTGAGAAAATATTATGCAAATTTATTTTCAAAATGGGCGCCCGAAATGCAAATTCTCTTGCGTAAAACTTCTAGACGGCCATTTTTCTTTCAATTGCAAAAATCTGCAATAAATTTATGTTTTTTGGATGTCTTTATTTTAATAGAATCCTTGATGGTCAACAATAACTTCATTTAGCGCCAACCTGTCATCCTTACGTGCACTTTGTTGTTTATGTCATGTCACGGATGAACGCACACAACAAAAATAACCGTAATTTCTGAATATAGCATTGTAAAAATAAACCATTCAAAGGATGAATTCCAAAATTTGGGTAAAAAATGTCAAGTAATAAAAAAGTTATTCAGATTTAAAAACTGCACAGTTATAAGTTGTGTTAAGTGTATATAACGTTATTTATTGTTTCAGTCGGCTGCGATCCTGCATGTGAAAATGGCGGGAAATGTCTTGGCACAGGAACTTGCTTTTGTCCGCGTGGCTTTTCAGGGCCAACCTGCTCTACAGGTATTAAGTAAATCAATCATTTTTTCTTATATTTAACTTTTATTTTAGATTGACTTCTTTGTTAACAATAAATAATATTTCTAATACGTTTCACATACGTCAATATTTGCCCTACCTGACATATGTCGTACTCGGATATCCCTCTCATTTTGCAGTGCAATGCTCTTAACATAAGATACAATGATTTTAGATGTTGCCGAGGAGTATCCCTCCACAGAGGTTAAGTGTATTGTAAAGTAAGACTTTAGGAGTAATAAGTGCTTGTGGCATTGGTGTTCTATGGCGGTTGATGTGTGCCATGTCTTTTTTCGCTTCGTGGGGCGCCAGACGAAAACACGAATAATGGATACGAAAAAGTTATCACTTTGTCTTATTTTTGTGTTTTTTCGCGTAGCGCAGCACAGAGCAAAAGAATGGCAAAGTGGTCACTTTGTTGTATTTTCGCCTGGCACACCGCGAAGCAAAAGAAATACGACATGGCACAAATCAGCCACCATATTCTACAGCCGCTCTGCAGAGGTTGCAGTGTCTGTCTAGAATTTTAGATATCGTTTTATACTGCCCTTTTATTTTATTTTTAGCAACATGTAGTATAAATTGTATGAATGGTGGTCGGTGTGTTTCTCCTGATGTATGTACCTGTCCTGTTGGTTACACCGGCACGTACTGTCAAACAGGTAATATATCTATACAGAAAAAGAATATAGCATTCATTTTCAAACTTTGAATACAATATAATATCAAAACCTTAGTGTTTTTAATATCAATTTAAATTGTTGAAACAATAAGAAATAGATGTCAACTGTAAAACAAACAAAAAATCATTATTGTATTCTATAATGTTTGAATGTTTAAACATCACATTTTGTTAGACTACTTACGAGCCTTTTTCTGGCCGGGAAGTAGAGCCTCGTTTTAAACTGAAAATCCTTATGTGTTGCAGATTAGAGTCTAATTACATACATGTATATACATTGCAATATATTGACGTTTGTTGTAAAATATAATTATTTTTGTATTACAATTATGATATTGGTATGGTTTATATATTATTTTAGCAATATGCGAACCAGCTTGTGGTAATGGAGGACATTGTATACAGCCTGGATTTTGTTCCTGTCCTTATGGATATATGCCACCAAACTGTGATCGTACGTTATTTCATTATGTAAAATTCTAGACAAAGTTAATCACGTAAAACATTAATTATCTACCTGTTTTAATTTTGTTTAACCCATTTAAAGAATAAAGAGTAATATGAGTATTCATTATTCAGCTAAAACAAATCTTAAATAATCTGCCTATAACACGAATTCTTATATGCTGATTTATTTAGTTAAGACTGTAATCATTTATTGAATTGACAAGTAAGTACATTTTAACAACAAAACAAGACTGACTGCTTAATGGAAGTAAAGACACTTATATCAGTTTGGAAATGACGTTAGTTGGAAGGTTATCCGTACATTCTGTCACAATCGTTTTGTTTCAGATTGAATATTTTCAAAACAGCATTACCATCGTGAAAAATTCATTAACATATTATGTAGAGTCACATCAGTCTGTGTATGACAAGAAGTGACAAGAATTCTTGTAAAATCATAATTTATATCAATAAATAATATTATGCTTATTTTAAGTTATTAAAATCACCCAGCTGTCCTAGTCAATACAAGTTATGTCACATATCTAGTGGCTCATTTGTACTAAGATAGTTTGCGTTGGTACACATCAAAAGTTTTTTATTTCATTTTTACAGCTGTGTGTGTTTTACCATGCCGTAATGGTGGGACCTGTGTTGGACATAATAAATGTAAATGTCAGAAAGGCTATGTCGGAACCGACTGCTCTATGCGTAAGCGTTTTTTCTGTTCATTTTAAAATTACTTGCTTGATTACATGTCAAATCACTCTACGGTTCGTTGACAAAACAAAATCCGCTGTTAATGAAAATTCTTTGGTTCAGTTAATTAGTACATACATTGAATCATTGGTAACTCTGGATTGGGATAAGGTAAACTTGGGCTTACGTTCAGAGAATATAGAAACTGTAAATTATCAATATAATAGCATGTACCGTTGGTATAAAACTCATTAACGTAAGTCTAAAAATGACTTGTATAGTTTTCACATTTCTCAGTTTTTAATGACAAGACGAGTTTCATTTCAGCAGTGGTCAAGTAAGTTCAATGCCCATTATGCTTCAGAAATGCTTTCATTTTTATTTCGCAAAAAGTTGTTTTTTTAATTTTGGTGTACTTTTATAGAAATGAAAAAGTAACTCATTGGCCAATTACCTGAACCATTTTTTATGTGTTCCTTTTTGGCAGTAAGTACAGTTATAGTGAATTAGTATTTTGTATGGAAGTTGAAATACTACTTTGTTTACATTTCGCTACTTTTATGACAAGTTAGTTGACATTTATTGCTACTTCCTTAAGGTAACAAGCATTTAAGTTTTCTTTTCAAATCTATTTCTGAGGTATACTGTCCCTTTAATAAAAGAACGATTTAATATTCTACAGTTTCATTCTTAACACGATTTTCCTTTGACAATCTGTTTTGTCAATGACTTAATTTATTATTATTTCAATTACATGCATTCAAAACGGTAACAAAATAAATGTATCAATGAGTAAAATATTTCATTTATAGCTGTCTGTCAACGCGGATGTTACAACGGAGGCCGCTGTGTTTCACCCAACACGTGCTCATGCCCTCGTGGTTTTACTGGAACCCGATGCCATCGACCGGTCTGTTACCCGGCATGTCAAAACAGAGGACGGTGCCTTTATCCCGGCGTGTGTCAGTGTAAACGTGGATTCAGCGGACCACTCTGTGAAAATCGTAAGTACTTTAACTCCAATGTAATAGTTATTTTTTCATTTTTATGTAAATGCACGCACATGACACTAACATCAAGGGAGGTAATGCTGTATATCTTAATATACCCCATCTTGTCATTTTATTATCACAAATCCACTTCCTTATAGTTCATAAATAACTCGATAATAATTTCAACTATTTCTTAATACTCCTTTCATAAATACATGTATAGAATAATGCGTGTGTCAACCCTTTCAAAAGGATTGAGGTACATGTAGCCTTGAGGACAAGAAAAGTCCTCCTTCCCGTTTGGGTCAGTTTCTTTTATTTTACCAGAAAAGATAAGTAATGGTCCTTAATCCCTTTTTGTCCAAATCTCCGTGTATTTTTAATACCTAATACATGTATGTTTTATTATTTAGTGGTATGTAGAAAACCGTGTCATAATGGCGGCGTCTGTGCCGGAAATAACAGATGCACGTGCCCAGATGGTTATAGAGGAAGATGGTGTCATAAAATAAGAAAACGCCGCAGATGTCCCACGTGCTTAAATGGCGGGAAATGTCGAAAAAGGCGCTGTCGGTGTAGAAAGGGTTATACAGGATCAAGATGCGAGAAAAGGTAAATACACACGGAAAGTTTTTTTTTGTAAAACATTTTAATAAATTATCTACATAGCAGTAAGTTAACTCATTACGTAACAATTACGTTTTTGATATTGCATGTATTTTCTTCATTTGTTCATTTATAAAAACTATAGATATAGATAAAGAAAATACGGTTATGATATCAGACAATGATAATCATAGTATGTTACTTCTGTAATGATGACATAAATACTGTGTATGTGCACTAAAAATAACAAACATCTAAGAAAGAAGTACCTTGCAACCAAGCAGCATGTTTCAAATTAATATAGGCTGAAATATTTGCATTTGCAACTATTCAATATATATTACATTATGTTATGATTAGCTATAGGAAGCCATTTTGATACGTGTTGCCAGCTATCGGTGTAATTCAAGGGAAGGGCAGTTAAGATCTTATTGTTCGGCTCTTTTACCCTTTGTTAAAATTGTTGTTTCTTTTGAAAGCAATGTATAAATTGTATTCAAATAGCAATAAAATATTATTAAGCTAAATCAGTGTAATCTGTAGGTCTACTTTAACAATAGAAAATATAAAGAATAAGTTAATGTTGTGTATTATCAAACTAGAAGACAGAAACTGACGAAGGTTATATCTAGAAAATTCATGATTTTTATATTTATAGAGAATGCACTTACGAGACTTATCTTATGCCTTACATACAGACATACAGACAACCCCAGAGACAAGATGTAGCTACACTTTGTGGTCCCTGGAAGTGGAAGATGTGTATAGAAACAAGGTGTGTACTTCCGGCATTTAATATTATCAAAGGAAAAGAAATTTTAGAAACTGATTATAAAGAAAAAGGCTACTTAGAATCTTTCTTTAATCCCATCCCTTATAAATCTCTTAAGTTTTATTATCCTCTATGCTATAACTGATGAAAATGCTATCTTCTAACCAATCCAAAACAGCTTATCGATGCATCAATAATAAAAATGAAGATGATGATGATGATGATGATTATGATGATGATATTGATGATGATAGCCACTACATGTATATATATATATATATATATATATATATATAATATATATATATATATATATATATATATATATATAATATATATATATATATATATATATAACTGAATGATAATTGTATTATGGAATATTCATGGTCTAACTAGATTACTGTATGTCATGGTTTCACATTAATTTCAGGTTAGTGTATGTCCTGGCAACACGTACAATGTACAAGACTGCATACAGATGTAAAGACTCTAGCGGTGACATCAACGATCCAATTCTTGAACAGTGAACATTCTAGTTCCGAAACTGTGAAATGTGTGAAATTTCCGATTCCAAAACTTTATGATAACGGAAACTTCCGATTCCGAAACTGTGAATTATGTGAGATTTCAGATTCCGAAACTGTGAAAATGTGAAATTTTATACTTCCAAAACTTTGAGATATTTGAAATGTCTAATTCCGAAACTATGAATTTCAAATAATTCTACTAAGAAATCAAAGAAATAAGTACAAGCAAATGGAGTGCTGAACACAGTTTTTTCTGTAGAAAAGGGTTTCTTATTTAATCTACAGTACAGATAAGAATTAGGAAAGAGAGAAGGAGAGAAAAAAATGACAAATATAGTATACAGATATGTGCTTGCACTATTTGGAATCAAAACCTATACGGGTACTATTTTATTAATTACCTCAGCTTTTAGTTTAGTTAAATTGATGTTATATTAAATCTCGCTCTTCCATGCTCGTGCTTATAGTCGCACGTGTATTATATACATTTTTGATACGATTTATTATGGGCATGTCTAGATAAGATAAAGAAATATGATAACACAATAAAATGTTCAAATGTCAGGTTATTGGAGTAGTATACGAGTAGGCTTATCACGTGAACAGAAGGGCGGCCATATAAAATTTCGAATATCCTTATTTTACGTTGTTTGATATCATTCGGTGTGCATAAATAATATAAGTAAATGAAAGAAACCTAAAATAAAAATGATATATAGTATTAAAATTCAAAACCAAAAGAGAAAACATATACTCGATTCGGTGACTGTTAGTAACTGATTAGGGGACGCTACGAGAGACCGTGCTATGTCAAATTGAAGTTGCAAAATAAAATAGGCAATAAGCTATTGTTGTGCAAACATTGTCTGTGAAATTGAGGCTTCAGATAATACGACTTAATTGGTTTTTTTAATCAACGCAACAATTTGGTTTTTACGGTATGATGTACATGTATATTTTGCATCACGTATACGTTAAAATGCACGACTATATCATTCTTGACGTTAGTTCTGGTAGACTTCATGTTTTGTATTGTTTTTGTTTTGGTTAATTAGTTAACCCATAGCCTGCTGGTAGCTACTGCAAAGCTTTTTAGGGCAAATTTTCGGACCGAAAGACGGCTCACTCCCTCCCTCAAAAGTGTATATTTTCCCTATTTCTGACAAAAGATTCACTCCCAAAACATGAATTGCATGTATTTTTAGACCTTTCTTTCTATATCATAATAGTGAGACAAAGGATAGCATTGTAGTTTTAAAAGAAATAATATTATTAAATCACAATTTGACATTGGACTGTTTTAGCCTTTTCTGAATTTCCCCCTCCCGCCCCTCTTTTTGCCGTCTGATCACGGTCTGCACTGTTCGGTATTCAGCCAGAACGTTACTTGCAGATAATTCTAGAAATGATGAATGGCATTTTCCAGATTGAAATGTGATTGCGTAGTAAGGATAAAAATTGATCTATAGTTCGACAAAGCCAGTATATTCAATTGTGATATAATTGTATTTTATTGCAGTTTTGTCATTCATTTGATATTGTCATTGTTTGATTCATTTTTTGTTTATGGACTTGGTTAGCGATTATTTTGTATGAAAAAGGTAAATTTATTTTTATCATTGGCTTCTGATATGAAAGAAAAACGTTTTGAATTTTTCATAGTATCATTAATACTATAAAAAGTTGGTACAAACTGTAGAGGATAGTAGAAAACAACTGGTAAAATTATACAAACATGATTTGACAAATATTTAAAATACTAGCTATAATTATACTATAATGCACTATTGTGCACTTTTGACCATAGACAGTAATGTGAAAAAAATTATTATGTTGATTCTAGAAAGTTTGTATCTCAAATTTAAGAGGTACTGAACTAAGATATGTAGATGGTTTACATGTTAATGTTATAGAAATAAGATAAACAGATTTATCAAAAATTATACATGACTTCTTTGTTATAATTTTATCCGAATTACTTTAAATGCTTATCCATTAAGTATAAAATGCTATAATTTTTATTTTTCAAAAGCTTTTTTATTTTTGATGTCAAATTACAATTTCTAGAAAGTTATCCATTGGTTATATACCCGAGCCATCTTTTGCGTCTTGTGCGGCTTTTTGTCAATTATAGTGATTTAGTATTTTTGAATGAAAGTCAAATTACCCATTTGTTTATATATTTTGCTTCTTTTATCACGCTATTTTCTTCATGTGATTACCATCGTACAAGATCTTAATATTACAACAGTATTAAACACATGCTTGCCCTTCCCACAGAGGGAAAAATATTCATTTCTGAGGCTAATGTGCGTGATGCTTTCTCTTGTTACTAAAAGCCATAAAAGGTTGGTATTTATGTTTATTTTGTTTGGTTTTACGGCGCAACAACACAGTTTAGATCATATGGCGCCGAAACAGGAAATATGATTTTGGCTAACCTTGGGTGTTACACACTTAAGCAACATCTGGGGCGAAACCACTTCACCTGCTGAGGCTAAGAGATACATAGACTACAATAATTCAAACCCATACAGTCGCCTTTTACGATCACGCAGGGATAAACAGTAGTTGAATTCTGATGCCTTAATTCCTACAGGCAATCCCTAAGCCACAAGGGAATGATATTTATTGCCTTATTGCGTACTTTTCTCTATCTACGATATGGTTTTCTAGTGAATAGCAAAATTGTGCATCCTTCAGCTAACTTTTAGCTATAACTTGTATTACTTAATTTTTGCATATATTTTATAAGCACTGTATATAGTTGCTAACTTACTGACGACTTGTAGTTCCCCTGTATTTCACACCTTTGATGATAAGGCACTTATATTGTTTCAGTTTCAGAAACAAGGTAGCCTAGAAATTCAGTGATTAATTTATGGTCTTTGATCTTAAATAATCCTTTTTTGCTTGTAAAATATTATTAACTAGCATTTCGTGACGTCTGAATATTTCATTCTCAAGCTATTTCCCATCATCGATTAATGTAATGTTTGAAGGAGTATCGTTGGTTTCCAGCAATATGTCTTCTTACATTCTTTTAAACTCTAAGAAAAATTTGATTGTAAATCCAATTAAAAGTCTTAAATTCATAAATATCATTTGAATTGATTGATCATTGTACCTCACGTAAACTTTTTGCTATAGAGCCTAATTTGACGTCACGTGATGATATTTTGATCTTTCATATCACCCGGTCAATATTTGCAATATTCGCCAGGGGAGAGTAATCTATATAGACTAATGAAAACGTCATGTTCTAGTTCTCTCCCCTAATAAAAATACCGAGTAAAAATGCAAAGCGTGGAAAATTACAATAACATACTGGTTCAGAATAATATAAAAACATGTCCCTCAGGATAGTGCTTTTTTGAAATCATTCTGGAAAAGGATAGCTCTTCCGAGAGCAATGCAAAGTTAAATGGATGATAAATGAACCTAGTTTATCAATTAGAGAGCACAGAAACATTTCTGAAGAACGTCCGAAACGTATCATAATCTGGAAAAGGGATGATCCCTAGTTTGTTCATGAGGGACAATAGAAAATGCAATATTTCTCACGCTCCATAGCACCGGCTCTCACGCTACCTAACACCGGTTTTCATGATCCATAGCACTAGCTTTCACGCTAACCGGCTCTAACGCTCCCTATCATCCGCTCCATAGCACCGGCTCTCTCGCTCAATAGCACCGGCTCTCACGCTCCCTAACGCCGGCTCTCATGCTACCTAACACCGGTTTTCACGCTCCATAGCACTAGCTCTCACGCTCATTAGAACCGGCTCTCACGCTCCCTAACACCCGCTCCATAGCACCGGCTCTCACACTCTATAGCACCGGCTTTCACGCACCATAACACCGGCTTTTTTTACGCTCCCTAACACGCGGCCTTCACGCTCAAAAGCACTGGCTCTCACGCTCTATAACACCGGCTCTCGCGCTCCATAACACCGGCTCTCACGCTCCCTAACACCTGCTTTCACGCTCACTAGCACCGGCTCTCACGGTCTATAATACAGGCTCTCACGCTCCTTAACACCTGCTCTCACGCTCCATATCGCCGGCTGTCACGCTCCCTAACACCGGATTTAACGCTCCATAGCGCAGTCCTTTCACGCTCCATAGCGCTGGCTCTTACGCTCCATAGCACCTTCTCTCACATCATTAGAACCGGCTCTCACGCTCCACACGCTCATTAGAATCGGCTTTCACACTCCATAGCGCTGACTCTCACGCTCCATAGCAACGGCTCTCACACTCATTAGAACCGGCTCTCACACTCCATAGCACCCGGCTCTAACGCTCATTAGAACCGGCTCTCACGCTCTATCGCGCCGGCTCTCGCGCTCCATAGCACCGGCTCTCGCGCTCCCTAACGCCGGCTCTCACGCTCATTATAACCGGCTCTCACTCTCCATAGCGCCGGCTCTCAAGCTTCATAGCACCGGTTTCCCACTCTCCATAGCACCGGCTCTCACGCTCATTAGAACCGGCTCTCACGCTCGATAGCGCCGGCTCTCACGCTTATTAGAACCGGCTTTCACGCTCCATAGCGCCAGCTCTCACGCTCCATAGCGCCGGCTCTCACGCTCATTAGAACCGGCTTTCACGCTCCATAACACCGGCTCTCACGCTCCATAGCACCGGCTATCATGATCCATAGCGCCGGCTCTCACGCTCCATAGCGCCAGCTCTCACGCTCATTAGAACCGGCTCTCACGCTCCCTAGCACCGGTTTAAACAGTATTCAATCTTCAACAGAATAAAGCATTGGAATAAATTATCCTGAATATGACCAAAGTAAGAGAAGTGCGGGGGAAAGTTTCACAGCTTGACACTTACTGTTGTAAGTATAAACATTTGGAAAGGATACGGTTATGTCTGTACAAAATAGAAAATAGACATAAAAAGGGCAAAAACAACAATGAAACACTTATCATTTTCTCTGATCTCAAATTAAAAATAATAAATCATGATCACTTTAAAAGCATTCCATATGAACGTAGAATAAAATATCAAGTTGTTAGGGACACAACCGTGTAACACAGTTACTTGTGCTTGTAAAGATAAACAGTGTCGTTTTTCTCACCCAGTTTTTTTTTTTATATAAATAATACATGTAAATGGCCGAATTTTTTAAAAGATATATCGAGTGTAAACTATCACTTTGTAGCG